GCTCCAGAATCACTTGCCGCTTTTTCGCTTTTCATCATATCACCGCTGGCTCCTTGGAATGCTCTTCCTAAGTTTTGACCAATATTTTTCGGTGAGATTCGCTTCGTATGAGTCTGAAATGTACTATTTTACATGAAACCACACAAATACTCGAACTTAACTTCATATTCGCCCAAAACTTCAACACTAGCACTACCAATAATACACGAAGATTGCTTTAATCAATTCTTAATTTTCAATCGAAGGGTATCGAATCGAGTCAAACCGAACCAAAATTCCTTTCCCGCCCCATACTTCTCATCAATTATCTTACTACATCATCTAAACTTCTCTTTAACTGAACATAACTATTGGATGAATCTCACTGAAAACGAATCGCATCTAAACCGAACACCCCAACGCACCTCTTTCGTTTTCGCTGGTTTCAATTCATCCGGCAATGGATTCACGATTGCCACACGACTCTTCTCATCCACTAAACCACCACCTTTGCTCGGTGTACGACTCGTTGAAGATGCTGAACGACCAGGTTGANTCAGACAGTCGCCCGTCGGGTGATGCCAGTGATGAAGAAGGCGTCTGCGAGCGTGACTGCTTTCCTCCTCCCGAAGTTCTGGCTTTTCGAGCTTGGGGAGCGCCCGAACCTGGTGTTGATGTGGGCTTTCGTTTGGCTGATTCGGCTGAAACTCCAACAGCGCGTTGATACCAAAACGATAACATCAATAAACAATAACTCGATCAATCGCAACAATAAAAAACATCACAATTTTCACATCAATAATAATAACATTAATAACAATAACAATAATAATAATAGCAATAATAGTAACAATTATAAACCTAAACTGTCCACTCACCTTTTCCCGATGCTCCAGATTTCGTTGCTTTTGGAGTTGCGTTCTTTTGACTGCCGCTGTCCGCCACTGTAACCTCCAAATGCAGAATCGGCTGCTTTACTTTTCCTAAAATTTTACAATCAAACGCTCAAAATCTCACTTTCATTTCAAACAACTCATCATGAGTCAATCAAAAGCACACAAAAAACATTAACACCAACAACGGTCACACCGAGCACGTACCCTTTATCCTTATCGGAGGCTGTACCTCCAGTCCAGCCTTCTCACTCCAACCCATCGGAAATATGTGTCGGCTATCGAATCGCTGCTTTGTGTCGTACGCCTGATTCCATCCGTCGTATCCAATTGTGATCAGATCTCCAATCACCTCGACCACTGTCGCTGGACACGGTCGCCCGTTGAAGTTCTTGTAATCGACCGCTTCACACTTCTGACCCACTTTGAACATATTCGAGTCCGGATGGAAACGGTACGAGATCTAAACTCAAATTCTTCCTCATAATCTACGCTGAATCGGACAATTCCCCAACTCAATCCCATAAAACTTTATATCTAAACCCTTGATCTGACCATTTGACAATGTTCAAATAATATCTTCCTTCATCTGATCGTGCCCTCGAAACAATTTCTCTTCATCACATTACCCTTATGAAATACTCTACTCAACAATAATGCTATATCCATCCAAAATGTTTTTTCCAGAATCGCAAAAAAACCAAAAAACAAAAATTCTTACCGGAGCAAAACATTCGTCCGGTGCAATAACCGGCGTTCCATCCTTATCCGGTTTCAGTTGATTTTCGATGAACTTATGATAGCTGGCAAGACTGTACATGAACCCATAAGGTGGCTGTAGACCGATACCTTTCCGTTCCGCATCTCTGCAACGATACAATACAATACAAATACAAAAATGAAACCTTTCAACCCTACTGCCCTAATGATCCTTAACAACACTTGATTTTTCGATTCCCGATTGTCAAAAAAGGCAGAAAAAACTCAAAACTGTTGTGTGTAGAAAACAATTCAACAGCGAGAATGACCCGCATCCCTCCCAAAGAGTATTCTTAAGCGATGTGATGTTATTATGTATTTCTTATAACCATATAAATGTTTCATCTATATTCAATATTATCATTTATCATCATATAATCTAATCTACGATCTCACAAACGCAAACATTCCCAACAAACACCCCAAATCTCACCCAACAGGCCTTATCCGATCGTCATCACAGATCATCCATTGATCATTACTCGCATCTTCACCATCCAATCGCGCACATATCCAAACCGAATGCACCGATACAACTGTCGCGATGCACTGCACATCGTTTCCTTTAATGCAATAATCCCACCTCATTATCTCCATCTCACACAAATTCTATCAAATCTTTTAATGCTCACTCCAGCATTTCATTCAACTCCTCATATACAATAACTCAATTTCCATTGCCGCATAATGTCAATTGTATCAATTATTCATTAACTCAATTGTATTTTTACGTTAGCCAATTTCGAATTCACTTACTCGAAGCTCAATCGCTTATATATTAAATTAAATTCTTTGGACAGTTACGATTATGAACGATAGAATTCATATTTTGACTTTATCTCAAATATATTTTTCACTCTCAATTCACCAGCACATTCTCATTGTCAAATTGAAAACATCCGTAAAGTAGCCTTCAAGCAGCCTCATTCAATGCATCAGAACAAACCTCGTGGATCAGGCAGCTCGATTTTATGCCCTACTTCGAACTTATTTTCTGGGATTGTTGGATCCTGGAAGAAGTATTCGGGGGGAGCCGCTTCGGAATTTGTCTCTTGCAGATAGTCTGGCCATGAGAATGTCTCTGGGGCCGGTTGCACCTTTAACGATAAATCGTTTAATGATTCCATTCGATCACGGAATAAATTCTGATCCTCTTGCAAATTCTATTTTGATAGTTACAATTCTGTTGTTCGGAGTTCCGAATGCATTTTGAGAGTCTCATTTCAAAAGCATTCAAAGATTATGTGAACAATTTACGAGAAGGCATTCTAACTCTTCAAACATTTTGTCATTTTTATGCTATCTTCATTGCAAATTGCTATAGAACTGCACTTAATATGATAGTGTTCATCAGAAAATTCTGATTCTATTGTTGCAATCATTTCAAAATATAAAGAGATTAAAAAGATATATTTGGATAAGTATCTTCAGTCGTCAGCTCACAGAGATTTCATTAGAATATCCAGTTTTAAGTTATAAAAAAGATTGTGAGATTTCTGTTCTTTCAGAACTATTTCGTCATGTGTTCATATGAATGGGTTCTCAACAATTCTTTTCATTTAAAACCTTTTTCGGTGACTTCGAATGGCCCGAAGCTGTCGTAGTAGTTGAGTTTGCTTGAGTTGTTCCTTCAGGATTCTTTACCGATGAGCCACACGACATGGTTTCAGAAGGCTTGCTTACATTTTCATGCTCTTCATTCTAAAACAAATGTTCTCCTAGACCACGACCGAATTTTATTTTGTCATCGTCGTCCAATTTGCTAGTTATTTTGTGCTATGTTTGAATGGTATTGGCCGCGATACCAAAGTGGATCTCATAAATCCTCCGTCATGAAATTTATCATCAAAAAGGATTTACCGAACTCAATTATCTGCATGTCTTTCAAATAATCACATAAAAGTAAAGAGTTCCCGGGTTTTAGCCCCATCTAAAATCAACCCAATTATTAGACCACTTACAGCTGATGAACATGGCGAGTTCGAGATCTTCTCATCGAAAATGATTAATCTCATTTCATCATCCATATCATCGTCCAATTTGCTAGCTAGATTGTCTTGACTGCTTGAATTCGCTATTGAATTATCAACGTTTGCACTGCTTGTGGTCACATTTGGATCATTATCCTTGCTGTCATTAGTGCTGTTTTGAGAAGGAATTTCGGATGCGGTTGTATTTGTTGCAAATGATATGGCATCCATTATAATCAGATATATGAACAATTATGATTTGTTTGTTTTCCTGAAATAATTTTGTGATCCAATATGATTTCATCATTTCAGTCGTTACACATACAGCATTTTCATTGAACACTTCATAATATTTGCATGTAATTTTTTGCATTTCACGTGTATTTTTTTCAGATGAATCGTCTTCGATTCCTATTCAGATATCAAAAATCCAATCGACGAATCATAAACTGATTTAAGCAAAACGTGGCAAAATTATTTGATTGCCGCCACGTTAGTGAATAACGCGATATAGAGCAACAATATGAATCGCGAGTACAGACATCTCAAAAGTTTTGGTGCATAGCGCCATATGAAGATCAATCGAATTTTTCGTAGATCATAAAAAACTGAAAAAAATACTCTTTAAAAAAGGAAAAAAAACGTTCTCGATCACAATTTCCATGAATATGTAAATTAATTCGCGCTAATTTGAGCCAGTCCCCTGGAACGATTTGCCACATCCAATAAGTGCGTGTTGCTACCTCTGCTATTTTTGGCCAGTTTATCATTAGATCAGGTTTATTGTTAGTTCCATTTTCGGGTTTTACGATGAGAAATTCATCTCTGCTTACTAAATCAGTAATCCAAATTAGAATTCCATGAAGATAGAAGATTCTCAACGCCTTTATCACTAGCTGCGGGTAAAGAGGAATGCCAACGAAGGAAGAATGTGATACTGGTAATAACAGAGGCATAAACTCGTGATGAGTTGGATTTGCTGATTAAATAAACATT